TTAATTTCTCATTAAATTTTTACAGATTGGGAATGATATATTTTCATTTTTAATTTCAAAGACTTTTTAATAAAATAAAATTAATAAAAGGGAATGGGCTCATTGGTGACCAAAAGGCTTACATCATTGATAAAATACTCCATTAATGTGTATGTCATTCTGTCAGCTACATTGTACACTGTATTCAGAAAATAACAATACAGTCTTTATCATTTTATATTAAACATATTAAAATATGAATTAAATTTGTAAATTTTGACAATTAAAGATAATCTACTACAGGTATTATAATATGATATTCTTTATAGACACAAGAAGTTAGCATACAACCTTACCTGTTGCAAGTTCATTACATACTTATCACTAAACAACAACAAACATTTACAATGATACATATTCTATTTTGGACAAGGTGATGTGCAAGAAAATTTCTGATATCTAAGACCAACTGCACCAGACAGGGGTTGATGAGGCATGTTTCCACATTAAGACCTTAAAACCGAGCATTACTTGGCTTATCAATTTTATATCATATGGCAACGTTCAATATTTGCACTTCAACTTTGATAAACAAATAAGAATTTCACAGCAGGAGGTTCACCTGTTAAAGTGATTTTCTGGCAAAAATATCTTCATATGACTGTGTACACCACTTAGAATGATTAGAATGTCTAGTAAAGCCTTATAAATGCATATCAATTAAAGTTGGAAAGCAACTGTTTCACTTACTCACCATAACATCATGTTATGATATATAGTAACTTTGTAGATCAGAAATAGCCAATACAGCTGAAAACTTCAAACCATTTATAGTTTTCATTTTTTTATCTCAAGGAGTGGAGATATTATATACCCCCTTATAACTAAAGCACAACTTTAGCATTAGGAATGTTGGAAACTTGATAAACTTCACACAATACTTTAGTATATATTTCTTCATTTTAAGCTTGCATTCTGGATTCATCTTTATAAACACAGACAAAAATACAGTTTCCATAAGCCTAAATATATATTTTCCTTGTAATTGCAAGCATATTTATCAACTGTTCATCCATCAGTGTGTGAAAACCAAAGATAATTATAGAGTGGAACTCTCATAGTTCTGTATGGAATCAAATTGACAATTTAATGTTTAGTAGTGTTAGGATTATATAATGACATCAGGCACAGTTTGAAGAAAATTGAGAGATAATTTCCAAAATTATCATGATGGCAGTCAATGTTGACAGTCACCAAGCTGTATGAAGGCTGATAGAAATGGTAAAAAGGACACGACACAGTCTGCATCCTTGTGCATTTCCAGGGCCTGTGTGTCCTATAGTTAATAGTGTATGATTCCTCAAGCATATGTACAAGGAAACACCAGTCTATCACATATACCACTATCTATCTATACAGGTAGGTGAACTGTGGCCATTATTGATTGACTGGTGTAATATTGCGGGACATCTATATGTCTATATTCCATATTGTGTACAGTATGGACAAGCCATATGCATTTTCATAGAATTTGTTGTGGAAATAAAAGATTTTCCAAAACTATATACACAGATGTATTCAAACACTCTTTATTCTATCAAAATGCAATTGGGTCAATATTTCTACTAAACTAATGAAAATTTATGAGAGGATGACAATTAAATTTTAAAGGTATCCAAAAGTAGCCCTGTACTTAAGGATGTATGCTACCTTACACATTATATCTATTGCTGACGAATTAGGTACATGTACATGTAATATTATAAATCAATTAACAGAGACACAAACTAATGCTTCAACCATTCTCCTGCTCTACTGATTAATTTAAGAGCCATCTATTAACACAGACAATAGAGTATTTATTGATGAATTAAAATCACAGCATTACCTAGTACTTCCATATAAAAAGGAGCTTTTGCGACAGCTTTCAAATGACTTCACTTTATGTTCTCAGCACTTAGGTCCTAGGAGGATTCATCAATACATGTAACAATCACGGCCAGAGTGGTGATCATCGATGTACAAATATTTATCATTGCCTTTTGATGGCAGCAATATTTGATTAAACACTGTTAATTAATCAATATTAAACCATCAATCTCTGGTTAGAACTCTCATCCTGAAGATAACAAATACCCTCCCCCCCCAACCGATACAGAGATTAAACTACACATTAATGTTTCAGTTTCATTTGGCTCCTAATAAATAGTTTCATTAGTAGTAGCAATTATTAAAAGATTAAAGAAGAACCAACATTTTGGACAAAAGATAGGCGGCCTGGATTTCAGCTTTAAATCGTGGATTGGACTGGAACTGCTTCGTGTTGTGCCTACTCCTGACGTCTATTTTGGACAAAAGAATATATATATTTGCCATCCAATGCACCAATTTTCAGCTTAATCAGACAATACCACAATTCTATCCAATCAGGAGCCTCTGTTATGTTTCAATAGTAACCATTCTGGAAACTTCTGATATGTGATCAATTTATAGGCTTTGATATGTTATGAAATTAATTATGTATGAACAATACAGTTCCAAGGCCTTATGAGCTATGGGCCATAGCATAAGTAGATATGTACAGTGACCCCATTAAGAAGGCACTGAGGACACCAAAATTTTCAGGAAAAAAGACTCCAAAAAACCTGCATGCATATCTATGGCCCATGATATCCTGAACACTGATCATAATATTTGCAGTGAAGCTAACATATATCCTCCATTGCAGTTCATTCAAACTACCCTTGCAAGTTGCATTCATTCATATCCTCTCTCCTACCTCCTTCTAAACATCTCCATGTCAATAATTTTTGTCCCGTCCCATTCGTTAAATCCATAAAATCACCTTACCATTCATCTTTTTTTCTCAGCCTTTTTCCTTTGAAACTTTTCTTTGCCACTCATCCTTGTCCAGCCCTCTCCCAAACCTGCCCTTACCACTTAACCTTGTCCTGTTCTCTCCCAAACTTCCCTTTGCCACTTATCCTTGTCCTGTCCTCTCCCAAACCTCCCCTTGCCACCAATCCTTGGCCAGCCCCCTCCCAAACTTCCCCTTGCCACTTATCCTTGTCCTGCCCTTACCCAAACCTCCCCTTGCCACCAATCCTTGGCTAGCCACTTCCAAAACTCCCCCTTGCAACTCATCCTTGTCCTGTCCCCTCCCAAACTTCCCCTTGCCATTATTCCTTGTCCTTTCCTCTCCCAAACCTGCCCTTGCGACTCATCTTTGTCTTTTCCCTCCCAAACCTCTCTTTGTCACTTTTAATCCTTGTTCTTTTAACCTTGATAATATCTTTTATTACACAATCTTGTTAGCACTTTCCTCCAACCAAAGCCATCTTGTTTCCTTATCCATATCCTAATTATCCCTCTGTTACTATTACAGTCCTATCTCCATTTTCTTTCCTTCCTAACTTCTCCTTACCCCTATAATCCCTGTCCTATCCTACACCTGTATATATCTAACTCTACACCTAAAATCCATACTGACAACGAAGTCTTGTATCAGTCCCAAAGTTTGATCAGTTTCACACACATTGAGATCCTTTCCAAGTCGTGTAGAATCTATTAACTATTTCAAACATATTGTTGTGAAACTATATCCACAGTTTTTAGTTTACAGAAGAATAATCAATAGAACACCTGTAGACGAGGTCACACAGGTACGACTCTGTTACAGCATGTCAATAAGGTATATAAATATTAACATTTGACAAAGTACCTCACAATCACCCTGTACATAGTAACTGTACTGATTTTCATACCTTAACTAAACATTCAAGTTGTTTTCATTGCAATCAATTGGTTTTATTTATCTATAAATTATTATTTTCATTCAAGACATCCAATATAATGTAATTTATGACCTTTTCTGTTTCGTTTATTTGATTTCAAATAATATGTTTATTGTGACAGACATTTCACATGTACTGTAAACAGTGACATTTTTGAGAGGTTCTATCTTACACTAAAATTGTGAAATATTTATCTTGAAATTAGAACTAAAAGAAAATGATCTGTTTGATGATTCCACTAAAAACTGCATTCATATTGTACAGGACTTTTAGTAAAAAAAATTGAATCATCAAAATTACCTTTAATCCAGAGTTAACACATGTCTCTTTGTGTCTCTCTTTGTTTCAAACATTGAACCTTTTCTGAAGAAAATTTTATTTTATTTAAGGATTTAAGGATTTTTAAAGCATCTGCTGTTAGTTTTAAGGTTTTTAAGGCTCAAACTCATTTTCAAGAGGTTTTCAATGCAGACCTCAAATTCCAGGGTTGGTTCGAGACCTGAACGACCCCTGTGACATGAGACTTAGTGGAAAACTGTACCATGGTTTTCCTCCAGGTTTCAGACAGAATGGCTATTGTTACAAGTCTCTGTATGAACACATTGTGTGAATGTGTTATATACTTTAACCTGTTATTTGTATATTAACAATATAAGAAAAGTCGAAGTGCTTTTAAGTAACATATTTTCAAAAACATATGAAAATAATGTAAGAGATCAAACACAGTGTTATTATACATGTTGTAAAAATGTAGTAAAAATCAATAAGAATTAAAATTTTTGGAGGTGTACACGAGAAACTAAGACAGTTATATATAATGGATTCTGCTGATCACATTGTTTGCTTTTTACATTTATCTGTAAAATCATACTTTTTTGTGGGGCTTAATTTGTGTGGACACATAATTTTGTGGATTGAAATACTCAATAAATCAACTTGTACTGATTATAACAATTCGTAGATATATGTGGAGTACCCACAAAGTCAACAACAAAAAACCTTCATGAAAATTAATTAATCTATAGCAGAGTGTTATTATGAGGTCATGAAAATAAAGTTTCTGAAAATTGAAGATAACAAAAGAAATCATTCATTATTAGCTAACACATCTGTTTGATAGATTCTAGTTATTGCCAGTTCTGTCTGATATTTGTGTATAAGTAGAAAGTCACAGTAATGTAAATACTGAGACTTTCAATTTGATTTCAAACACAAGGTTAAACTTACTGTGTCTGATGTAATACTGGTGACGGACAGGGTCTTAGTACGATGTTCGGTTGTGATGTTCTCCGAGAGCATGTAACCACGTTCAGGACCACTGGTATCATTGGGACCAGCCCGTTTCTGCCTCTGAGTCTTTTGAAGTTGACCGTAGGCGTGAATGTAGTAGGTGAGGAGTGACTCTGTGGTGGCTCCATGGAACTTCATACTGGCCTGACCAGGTCCTCCACTGGCCTCGTGTCCAGGAAGTTTGATGTTTTCTGGCAGTTGACCAGACAACAGTGCTTTCTCGATGGCTTTACGCTGTTGGACATCCTTGAAGGAGCGATATATCATTTCGAATTCTTCATGCTAAAAAAGACAGCAGGTCCATTCATTTGTTGTCTTGCGATTGTTTTGCAACACAGAATAGGACACATGACCTAACATCACAGAGAGGATACTATTTCTAAAGAGATACATTTTTTGATGTAGAGAACCTTAACACTCCTGTCAAAGATTGTATAAACAAAAGTACTGTTGCAAGTTAGGAAGAGCTGGCTCCACACTGTCTTAGACTCTAAACTTGAGTGTAACACTGATATTGCATTTTTGTTTATTGATTTACAGACACAAGAATTCACCAATGAAATATTAAGGAACATTTCACATTTGACCTGAAACATTCACCTGATATTTTAGTCTTTAAATCTTATTTCAAATTTAACAGACATTTGACCTGATGACCTTGACCTGTGCTTGAATGTCTTCTCAATTGATTCATGTAATTTATTCACCAGTTACCTATTTATAGTAATGGTGACCTTGACCTTTTACCTCTAAATATGCAGAGCAATTAAGTCATGGCACTTCCTGTGAAAATGCTGAGTAGAGTCTGAGTGTATAATTAATCAAACAGAACTGAAAATATTTTGCAGAAACACTTTTTTTTATCTATAGTAGCAGTGAGCTCAGCATTTGACTTAAGGACCCAAAAATCACTCACACGCCAGCTCCTCTTTTAAAAATACATTGGGTAAATTTGAGTGCAATCTAACAGAATTAAAAAATGTAAACATTTATGTACCTGCTCACCATAGGACAGCTGCATTTTCAACTCAAGGGCCCAAACTACTGTAGAATACATTCACACATGTTCATATACATGTTTATGAATGAATACATGTAGTCTTATATATGTAAAGAATAATATTTTCAATCCTTTAATGAAGATGACATACCAACAACTCAAGGGAAGAAGACAAAATGTCGTAGATTTCTCGGACAGTGCCAACTGCTCGCTGACCAAGGAAGAACACTTGACTCTTTTTGTCCTTTGCCTCCAGTTCTTTGCGGTCAGTGATTGGTTTTTTTCCCTTGACCTTGGGAGCAATGGAAGTTTGTGCAAAGTCAAAAGTTTTAAGAGATGGCTGCTGGACTTGTTCCTGAAAATTTAATAGAAATGATTGATCATAAAGCAGACCACATGTATAGGTAGGATGATATAAAATGTAGAATAAATTTTGATACATAAGAGGTCATATGGATCAGAATTGCTCACCTAGTCGGTAGCTTAGAAAGAGGACTTTGTCAGGTCATAAGTTTTTTTGCTCACCTGGTCTGTAGCTTAGAAAGAGGACTTTGTCAGGTCATTAAATTTTTGCAAATCTGAAAGCCCCTTTCTCCAGAATGTTACTTTACAAACATCATGACCGATTGGGTTTATGTGTTATTGAAAAGAAGCTTGAATGTCTTAGCATATTTGACCCTTGAGATCTTGTAATGTGGTAAAGGTCAAACATTATTGTATAAATGTGGTGCCCAGCACATACCACCATGATTGGTCAGGCACCTTGACTCTAGAGATGCCTATTGGGAATCCATAAAGATTCAATCACATTTGACGTATAACTTGAAACTGGGTCATTTGTTTGAATGAACATTATAGATTTTTACCATACTACAGGACCAGTGACAGTATCCTGGGCGTTTTTGGCATCAAGAAGAAATTGTTTGCAGAGTTCAAGATGTATGTATCAGATCACTAATCATGAAAGTGGATCAAGGTCACTCATTTGACCAAATTTGGTAGCTGTATTTAAGTATGTAAGTATTACTTATGTATACAGATTTCTCCAAGAAAATTAAGTTGTAAGTACTAGAATGCCACACCCTAATTAGCTTACCTCATCTCTCTCTTTATAAATCATGTTGCCCACCAGTGTTGAAAACTCCATAATGTCCTGTACAATTCCATTTAACTGCAAGATAAAAGAAGCAAGTTAAATGCTACATTAACAAAAAAATTCAATTATAGACAGCATGGACGGTCCTGCATTGGATTACTGCCATATAATACAAAACTGATATATAAGACAGAAGAGATGATATATTTATCAAATCTACTGTAAAGAACGAAGGAAATATGGTCACACAAGACAGGTTCTACTGTACAGAAAGGAAATATGGTCACACAAGACAGGTTCTACTGTACAGAAAGGAAAACTGGTCACACAAGACAGGTTCTACTGTACAGAAAGGAAATATGGTCACACAAGACAGGTTCTACTGTACAGAAAGGAAAACTGGTCACACAAGACAGGTTCTACTGTACAGAAAGGAAAAACGGTCACACAAGACAGGTTCTACTGTACAGAAAGGAAATATGGTCACACAAGACAGGTTCTACTGTACAGAAAGGAAAAACGGTCACACAAGACAGCTCTAATATATTGAGAGGAAGGATGTTCACACAAGACAGGTTCTACTGTATAGAGAAAACAGGTGTTCACACAAGACAGATTCTACTATATAAAGAGGAAGATATCATGGTTGAGAGACAGATTTTACTATTTAAAACATGTTGATGATATAAGACATTTACCATTGCCTGTAGCTCTCCTACAGTCCACAATATCTGTTCACGTTCATTGCGAGCAACATCATCCATATCAGGTATCGGTGGCGGGGGATTCTTCTGACGGATAGGTGGCAGGACACTTTTCTATAAATAGATTAAATACAGAGACAGATTCCGTTATTTTCATGTTAGAAAAAATATATGAAACATTGCCTAATGTGAATTAATCCACTACCAACAATGTTATTTAATGGTCAGCCATGAAATAACATTATAGTGTTAATAACATGGACAACCAAAAGAACAGGAGTTCTTGTAACACAAGTAGAAGATGTGATTGTGACTTAGCAACTGACAACACAATCACCTTCATTAGACAAATGACAAGTATGGAGCATACTAGTCCTGACGTACGTAGTATATGAGATGGTACGGAATCAGTCAGGAAGGAGGAGGAGTAAAGATCTGAAGTACTAGTAGAAAAACATGCCACAAAGATCAGCGAGACACATTACACCATTGATATATATACCTTCTGTGGTTGTTTCCTGGCCACAGGTTTGCGTACTGGCTTTGGTTTGGGAGGGGCCTGTTTTGGCTTCATTTTGGGTGGCTCCTCAATGGATCCTTTGTTTATCTAGATGAAATAATACAGGGATAATAGAATATAACAATGCAAAATATCTTTAAATGAGCTCAAGTTGTGGACTTTTGGTGAAACAGCGGAATACTGACAATAATTTATCAAAGACACTAAACATATTTATTTACCTTTATGTTACTTGTGTAATGACATATGGGCTTAGAGTCAAAGTGTGTGACAGGAGTTACTCCCCTTCCTGATTTGTTTTATTTTATTTATCTAACTGAAAATTAATCCTTCCAGCACATATCATCACTAAAGATTAATATTCAACATTTTACTTTGATGATTGTGCAAATTTGACACATTTAAGCGACCATGTCATAATCTGGAGTTATCCCCCCTACCTTGGCTGGCTCTGCACGGGGTACAGGTACAGGTACAGGTACAGGTACAGGTTCCTCTGGCTCCGGCTCTTTGACCACCTCTTCCACAATAACTTCCTCCTCTACAGGTTCTGGAGGAGGTGTGGGGGGCTCTGGAGAGGGAGGGGGCTGAACTGGTGACTTCTAATGATGATGATGTACAACATGATATAGATAACATATAACTGTGAAAAATAAAAGGCAAACCAATTGACTTGAAGAGAGTATTCAGCCAACTTTCAAACACTGTTTCTACTTTCCAAAAGTATTTTCTAACAATATCATTCGACTAGACATAGAAATAGATGTAGCTTGACCTATCAACCGGGCACCATAACCAAATTGATACAAAATTTTCAGTTCTTTTAAAGATGAAAAGTAACTCACCTCTTTGACTATCACTGGCGTTTCATTTTCATACTTGTCGACCAAGACACGCAGCTCAGCAAGGTCCTTAAAAGCATCACTGAGTTTCATCTCCGTGTCATACAGAGCTTTCTTCAGAGTTTGGTTCTTCTCTGTTAGCTTTGTTACCTCTTCTTGAGCAGCAACAAGCTCCAAGTTTACTGATGGTTTCTGTAACATGGAGACATATGATTAAACATATGTCATATTGTGTAGTTCAAATATCAGAAATGATGAAATGATTGATCTCATACATATCGACGTAATAGAATGAATAAGTTATCCTCAACTTAAATTGCATGTAATCTGAACACGATCTCTCACATTAACAGCATCTAAAACATCAGTAAAAAGAAAAAGCTTTTTTTATGTCTGAAACATCGGGAGAGTTAAACAGCTGTATCTCAGACTTTTATAATCCCCTGGAGAGATAAACAGAACCTCACACTTCTGAACATTGGAAATCTCAATCCTCTGTAGAGATAAACAGAATCTCACACTTTCATAAACATCTTAAACATCTAGAGAGATAGAAAGAAAACCCACTCTTTATAACATATAATTAAACGCATTAGACTTTCAGTAGTCACAGTATACAATAAAAAAAAATCAATTGTGAAAATTTGTGGATGGCTGACTTTACAAAATAGGTATTTAAACTTGAATCATAACTATCCCCAGTACTGAGTTTGGTGCAGTGTAATTGTGCTCCAACTAAATATGGCACCTAGACATAATGATGATTCTACCACCAGGGGGTCCTGCACTTACCTTTTCTACTTTAGGCAGGTGACACTCACAGAAACTTGGAGCCTTAGTGACTATTACTCTACAAAAGACAGAAATATCATACATATACAATTGTACATGTTGTGTAAGGAGATTTCAAAAGTCTGTCCAAGTATTGATTATTACCTCATTATTTTGTGTTACCTTATTATTTTGTGTGAGAAAATTCTGTAATTTTTTCACAAATTATGACATTACTCTCACAAACAAATGACGTAACAATGAATACACTGTATCTGCTCACAAGAGCGAATAACTCTTTATTACAGAAAGACAGAAATGTCATAGATATGAAAATAAATAATCTTTATTTATTTTACAACAACTGCGAAGCAAGTTTTTCCAACTTATATTAATCACTCTTGTTGGCTCGGATGGAAGCGTGCGAGGGGTCTTATTGTTGGAAGAAACCAGAATACCGGGGAAAACCCATACCTTTTCACATTCATTCCGGGAATCGAACCCCGGACGGCTAGGTGAAAGGCATAGATGACCTTATCATAAAGTCTAATAGAAAGTCCTAAAGAAATGGAGACACTAGGATGAGAGGCAAAGGGATATGAAATCTGACAGACACAGATAACACACCTGTATATGCCCTATGCCCCTTTCCCCCTGCCCAGGGAAATGAAATTGGACAGACATGGGATAAAGGCTTTATCCTTCCAAACATTAGGTTTGTGAAGAGGCTGGATATTTGAAGGAATGTGTGTAAGTCATCATAACAAGAGGCCCAAAGGGTCTGTATTGCTCACACGGCTTTGCTTGGCTGAAATTGCTTCATTAAAACTAAAGGAAAAGAAATCCTATATATCTCAGCACACAACACAAACCATATTCATCTTCTTACTGGACACGAACCCTCTGTCCTCAAGGGGTCAGCCAAAAGATTCATGCTTCTGACCAAATCTTTCATAAATATCTATTTTCCTATTGGACTCGAACCCTTTATCCATAAGGGGTCAGTCAAGCCATTCATGCTTCAAATCAAATCTTTCCAGGAGGAATAGGATTTTAAAGAATTTGCACTATTTCCTCTATGGGGTTCCACCCCCTTCGATCCCAGCAGCCTGAGACCAAACGTTTATACAAAATTGATTCCCTTTTACCCAAGAATGCTTCAGGGTCAGGCCCCACTTGTATAAAACATCACAACTTGAGATTTCCTCAAGTCGAGATTTTCCTCAGCTGATATCTCCTCAAAAACGGCTTGTATAAAATTTTCTCAAGGAACAGGAGGAAGGCATCGGCTAGGATGTCATGAAATTCCTTGAGGAATTTTCATACAAGATATTTTCAAGGAGATATTAGCTGAGGAAAATCTCGACTTGAGGAAATCTCAAGTTGAGATGTTTTATACAAGTGGGGCCAGGTGAGCTAAAAGTTTAGGGAACAGGCAGAATAAAAAAGGAAAATTTGATCATAAAACCTGGTACAATAGGGCAAGGGATTGATTGTGGTCTCTAACCTAATGTCCACAAATTAGACTTTTGTAGATTGATCCATTAAAGGAGTGAGTACAATGGCACAGACTAAATCGATACATACTCATTGACAATAGTGGTAGTTTCTGTGACAACTTCTGGTGGCCTGTTCTCAAGATCTTCTACCTGTCCGGGAAACCATAACAATTTGAACGTGTTATCATATATCGACAGTTTTTTTCACATTAGATTATAATATTTTATTCCTTTTTCATCTCCAAAATGTAATTATTTATTTTCTACTTTGTTATTTAGTACAGATGTAGTTTGTGATTCTGCTGTGTAAACTTCCCACATTATTTTACATATCAGATTACACTTTTAAAAACTTGAGAGTTGAAGGGTTACTGTATTTTTGCAGCAATAAATTTGTTTATCTAGGATATGATTTTTTGCCACAACAATCTTTGAAAATTCACCCCAAAAACTTAGGTTAATGTGAATAATAGACATTTTAGCTCTTTCACCTTAATTTCAAGTTCCATGTTCAGCAGCTCAATTTCCTTCATTTTTGATCCAGCTTTGCTAAGGTCCTGTCATGTTCAACATTTAACAATTTTAAACAAATCTCAAATTCAACAAATAAATATTGATGTCAACATTTCACATGTATTGATAATGTGTGGTCAGTAAATAGCATTATCAACATACATATTCAAATATCAGATAAAGAAAGGTGACTTTGTCAAACCAGTCTACCCAGGGGTAAAGATGGGTACCAACAACTAGGGAGGTAAATTCAGAGATGGACAGGTTTTCTTTTAGGATACTGAGTCTTTGAATTTCAAAATCAAAATATGACCCTTATGAACTCAATGCATGTAAAATCAAAACAATCAGTTTTCAAACTTGAGAATGGTTTTGAAATAAACTTTTATTTGATGTGATAATTAAACTACACCTTTCTATGTTGTTTATTTTTTTCCATATCCTGATGCTGGAGTATAATGCGTGTATTTTACTTTAAAAATACCTGATAATTTTTTCAGTTTCTTTTGAGAAAAAAATTGATACCAAATAATTTCCACTCTTTCTATACACTGATAAAAAACAAAGAATACTCATTATCTAAACCTGCAACAGTTAAATTTCTGTGACTCTTGTAAGATTTGAGAGAGTTCAGAATCTGGGGTTAATTTCTCAGTGATGTCTGAGACTACACCAGTCAAACCCCTTGTTCTGACAGAGGACAAGTGCTTGCTGACCTTTGTCAGGGCCTCAATGGTTTCTTTAAGGTCCCTGAGGTGTGACCTAAGAATGGCAGGATCACTGCTTGTTTCTCGTGCCAGCTGACTAAAGGTTGATTCTTTCTGAAAAAGAAGTTTTAGGGAGAAATAAAAAAAATCCTTCATTCAATTACCTCAATACCCTCTAAATGAAGTTATTCTAGCAAATGGCCCTATATTGGTAATCTACAGAAAATTTGAACTGAGATATCCCTTCGAAAAAAATCTTCCTCAAAGAAAAAAAATAGATTGCAGTATATATTATATTTCCAAAAGGATTTTTGACTCATAAAAGCTTGCGGTGATATTATTTGCAGATTGTTGACACATTTCCTTCCCAAAATTGTGAAAAAAAAACACATTTTAAGTAGTGTGGTCAATTTGCTGATACAGATAAACTGTTTGATTGAATTTCTACATAAAATTTTCAGGAAAAATGTTCCCCAAACATCTATAGAAAACTATTTTTCCTTGTGAAGTTTATCAAAGGTCAAATTAAAGGTTGCAGTGACCTACATTTGGCACATGACAATGCCACACACTAACTTACATGGTTGCATAATAAAACTGTAATAATTTCAGCTGATTTCATGACATACTGATATGAAGTATTGAATTCCTCTCAACTCGTACTGAATGAAATCAGAGCAAATGCATGTATCATTTTTAAAATGTCTACTTCAAACTGTTTCTTTTTCGTTTTTTGTATGACCTTGGTTTTACATTTCATATAGGTCAATTGCTACATGTAAGTAGATGGTCAGAACTGTATTCACGCATTATGGGGCTCCTATGGGCTAACTTTACATCACCTACTACAATGTAAATGTAGGTATATGTTTTAATTGCTGTTTGGATGTATTTCAACATTTTTACATTTTCAATATTGTGTTGAAAATAGAAAAACCAAATCTGAGCAGGGAAGCCAGCTTTTGTGACTGTTGTTATTTTTATTAAAACTTTTTTTTTTTAATTTATCAATTAGTTGATGTTTCTTTGAAATAATTATGTTTACATATTCTGAGATCTTAATTCCAGTAATTATCCATTCTAAACTCACATGGATGGTGTCAGATGCTGACTTGAAAACACTGGTAGAGGAACCATCAGAATCATCGTCCATTTCACTCAAGCTTGATAGCTGTCTCTCAATTACCTTGAAAACAATATGTTATCAATTTATCATTAATAAGTGTAATTTAAATTCATAAAATCATGTTTGCATTACCAATCATGAATAAAGTCAAGGCGTTCCTTATATTCCAATATTTTTCCCAATGTGTTACCTACATTTTTTACTTTTCCCGAGTGTTATTTTACTTTTTTACTTTTCTCCATTGTTTTTTTACTTTTTGACTTTCCCCATTGTTATTTTACTTTTTGACTTTTCCCCATTGTTATTTTACTTTTTGACTTTTCTCCATTGTTTTTTTACTTTCTGACTTTTCTCCATTGTTATTTTACTTTTTGACTTTTCTCCATTGTTATTTTACTTTTTGACTTTTCTCCATTGTTATTTTACTTTTTGACTTTTCCCCATTGTTATTTTACTTTTTGACTTTTCTCCATTGTTATTTTACTTTTTGACTTTTCTCCATTGTTATTTTACTTTTTGACTTTTCTCCATTGTTTTTTTACTTTTTGACTTTTCCCCATTGTTTTTTTACTTTCTGACTTTTCTCCATTGTTATTTTACTGTTTTACTTTTCCACATTGTTATTTACTTTTTTGACTTTTCCCATTGTTATTTTACTTTTTGACGTTTTCCCCATTGTTATTTTACTTTTTGACTTTTCCCCATTGTTATTTTACTTTTTGACTTTTTCCCATTGTTATTTTACTTTTTGACTTTTCCCCATTGTTATTTTATTTTTTGACTTTTCTCCATTGTTATTTTACTGTTTGACTTTCCCCATTGTTATTTTACTTTTTGACTTTTTCCCCATTGTTATTTTACTGTTTGACTTTCCCCATTGTTATTTTACTTTTTGACTTTTCTCCATTGTTATTTTACTGTTTTACTTTTCCCCATTGTTATTTTACATTTTTGACTTTTCCCCATTATTATTTTACTTTTTGACTTTTCCCCATTGTTATTTTACTTTTTGACTTTTCTCCATTGTTATTTTACTTTTTGACTTTTCCCCATTGTTTTTTTACTGTTTGACTTTTCTCCATTGTTATTTTACTTTTTGACTTTTCCCCATTGTTATTTTACTTTTTGACTTTTCCCCATTGTTATTTCACTTTTTGACTTTTCCCCATAGTTATTTTACTTTTTGACTTTTCCCCATTGTTATTTTACTTTTTGACTTTTCCCTATTATTTTACTGTTTGACTTTTCCCCATTGTTATTTTACTTTTTGACTTTTCCCCATTATTTTACTGTTTGACTTTTCCCCATTGTTATTTTACATTTTGACTTTTCCACATTGTTATTTACTTTTTTGACTTTTCCCATTGTTATTTTACTTTTTGACTTTTCCCCATTGTTATTTTACTTTTTGACATTTCCCCATTGTTATTTTACCTTTTTGACTTTTCCCCATTATTTTACTGTTTGACTTTTCCCCATTGTTATCTTACTTTTTGACTTTTCCCCATTGTTATTTTACTTTTTTGACTTTTCCCCATTGTTATTTTACTTTTTGACTTTTCCCCATTGTTATTTTACTGTTTGACTTTTCCCCATTGTTATTTTACTGTTTGACTTTTCCCCATTGTTATTTTACTTTTTGACTTTTCCCCATTATTTTACTGTTTGACTTTTCCCCATTGTTATTTTACTGTTTGACTTTTCCCCATTGTTATTTTACTGTTTTACTTTTTCCCATTGTTATTTTACTGTTTGACTTTTCCCCATTGTTATTTTACTTTTTGACTTTTCCCCATTGTTATTTTACTTTTTGACTTTTCCCTATTATTATTTTACTTTTTGAGATTTCCCCATTGTTATTTTACTTTTTTGACTTTTCCCCATTGTTATTTTACTTTTTGACTTTTCCCCATTGTTATTTTACTTTTTTTACTTTTCCCCATTGTTATTTTACTTTTTGACTTTTCCCCATTGTTATTTTACTTTTTTTACTTTTCCCCATTGTTATTTAACTTTTTTTACTTTTCCCCATTGTTATTTTACTTTTTTGACTTTTCCCTATTATTATTTTACTGTTTGACTTTTCCCCATTTTTATTTTACTTTTTTGACTTTTCCCCATTGTTATTTTACTTTTTGACTTTTCCCCATTGTTATTTTACTTTTTGACTTTTCCCCATTGTTATTTTACTTTTTTTACTTTTCCCCATTGTTATTTTACTTTTTGACTTTTCCCCATTGTTATTTTACTTTTTGACTTTTCCCCATTGTTATTTTACTGTTTTACTTTTCTCCATTGTTATTTTACTTTTTGACTTTTCCCCATTGTTATTTTACTTTTTGACTTTTCCCCATTGTTATTTTACTTTTTTGACTTTTCCCCATTGTTATTTTACTTTTTGACTTTTCCCCATTGTTATTTTACTTTTTGACTTTTCCCCATTGTTATTTTAATTTTTGACTTTTCCCCATTGTTATTTTACTTTTTGACTTTTCCCCATTGTTATTTTACTGTTTTACTTTTCTCCATTGTTATTTTACTTTTTGACTTTTCCCCATTGTTATTTTACTTTTTGACTTTTCCCCATTGTTATTTTACTGTTTTACTTTTCTCCATTGTTATTTTACTTTTTGACTTTTCCCCATTGTTATTTTACTTTTTGACTTTTCCCCATTGTTATTTTACTTTTTTACTTTTCCCCATTGTTATTTTACTTTTTTGACTTTTCCCCATTGTTATTTTACTTTTTGACTTTTCCCCATTGTTATTTTACTTTTTGACTTTTCCCCATTGTTATTTTACTTTTTGACTTTTCCCCATTGACTTTTCCCCATTTTATTTTACTTTTTGACTTTTCCCCATAGTTATTTTACTTTATGACTTTTCCCCATTGTTATTTTACTGTTTTACTTTTCTCCATTGTTATTTTACTTTTTGACTTTTCCCCATTGTTATTTTACTTTTTGACTTTTCCCCATTGTTATTTTACTTTTTTGACTTTTCCCCATTGTTATCTTACTTTTTGACTTTTCCCCATTGTTATTTTACTTTTTTGACTTTCCCCATTGTTATTTTACTTTTTTGACTTTTCCCCATTGTTATTTTACTTTTTTGACTTTTCCCCATTGTTATTTTACTTTTTTACTTTTCCCCATTGTTATTTTACTTTTTGACTTTTCCCCATAGTTATTTTACTTTTTTGACTTTTCCCCATTGTTATTTTACTTTTTGACTTTTCCCCATTGTTATTTTACTTTTTGACTTTTCCCCATTGTTATTTTACTTTTTGACTTTTCCCCATTGTTATTTACCTTTTTCTTACTTTTCCCCATTGTTATTTTACTTTTTGACTTTTCCCCATTGTTATTTTACTTTTTGACTTTTCCCCATTGTTATTTACCTTTTTTAATTTTTCCAGATGTTCCTTAATTTTCTAGCTTACTCATGTCTTCCTTACCTTCTTTGCCTGCTCGAGGTCATTCTCATATTTTGTAATTTTTGCCCTGAGCTGCATTACTTCCTTGGTGAGGTCTGCATTGTCATCAGCTAAGTGAGATGCTACCTGTAACCATAGCAACAATGTTGAAGGCATATTCTTGGCAAGTGGTAAATTTCTTGAAGTTTTATATGTTTCAAGAACACTTTACTATTGGTTTTCAAAATACTTTAAGATTCAAAATAATGTTATTGTAGTCTAACAGTTAGAACAAAACTGATGGAAATATCCATATCTAATTCAATGTTAGACTGTCTACATATAATAGATTTATTATGTAAAGATTTTGAAAACAAACTGAAAGCGTGCTGTCTAATCCAGGCAGAAGTGTATGTAAACAAAGAAAAAATACCAATTTCTCAAGTTTTCCTTATTTAGAACACATAAAATACGAACCTGTTAAGACACAATCATGACTATTTGTAAAATGATCTAACAACTTATACTAACTAAATAACATCAATCGGTTTTTGTTTAGGATTGCAGAGTCATACACAATGTTCCATTTCCATAAGAACATATATGGCAGAATACATTTGTATGTAAAAATGTGTTAATAATGTTGTTACCAGTAATCATGGAAACAGTGTTAAGGTGAATTGTTGCTAGTTACCATAGCAACAGTGTCAAGGAGAGCTGTTTATAAAACCATGTGTTGTTAACCACATCAGTATCATGGTAGATCAGGTCCGCAGTGTATCTATGTTGATTTATTTAATGTCACTGAGAGAATTATTGATATAAATAATACTTACGTTCTTTTCTTTTCTTACATCACCTTTAAGGCTGTGGAGAGAAAGTAAAGTGAACCAAGTTATGGTGGGAAAAAACCCCAGCAAAACAAGACAAGTATTACAGCATTTAGATATTTAATTAGAGAAGTACCCAACAATCTGAATCCCTAAATATTCACGTCTGTAGCAGCATTATGTGTGCCACAGATACTGTAGTTCTGTAACAGTATATCACTATGTGTTCCATCCCATATCTAACATCCTACAAAAACCCTTAATTTAGTTGGTGATAATTTGATATTTAAATGTATCCAAAAAAAAGCAAAATTGATGTTCTGTTTGTAAGTTTTGTTTGTTTATAATTGATAATTCAAACCAAGTCCCCAGACTAGCTTCTTATCATGGCGCTAACTCGCACGTACCGTGTTCTGTACGCTTACGTCATGTCGAGAATTCCGTAAAATATATTGTTCAAAATTTATCAATAGTTCAACCACACTGTGCTTCCTTTTCGAAATATATAGAAATCATATTGTTATTAAAAAATAAACTAATTTTGGATGCTTTTTTTAACATAGCTCTTTAACTCTTTTTGATATTTCAGCCATTGAGAAGGTCAGGATCGGTAAATTTTGTCTGAAAGGCCGTCGCAATAGGCTATGCATACTGAGTACATTTAGCCTAAAAATCATTTCAACATCAGAAACATCTGAAATGGGACGCATTGTAGAATATTTTGTTGGCACATTTCTCGATTTTCCTATATTCTGGACATTTCTTTGCCAGCTGTGAAACACAAAAATAAAAGTTCTATACCAAATGCATCATTTAACAAGTTCTGCAAAAAAATTAACACAGGTGTATGTTGGTCTCTTAAACGTTCTGCTGAAGAAGACACAGAACAAGCGGAGTGGTCTCCCCTACCTTCTGATCTGAATATGCTGGCGGTCGATCTGAGTTAGAAGCTCTGTTATCTTATTGTTTAGTACTTCCTTTTCTGTAAAAATAAAAAAAAAATAAAAAAGACCAAATTAACAAAAATATGACACAGATAGGAACTGATGACCTGGATGAGTAGTAAGAAATATTATATATGTAACACTGAGAATCTACACCAAACCAGCTTGTCAGCATCACTATTTTTCTTTTTTCATTTTCTATTTATTCATGAACGTCACTCTATCAGTAAACCAGAGACCCAATAGTCACAAATCACTCACCTGTGAAAATTTCTGTAAACCTGAAACCCCGCATCCCAAGTAGACTACAACACAAATACCACGACTTGGCCATATGGCTTATTGTTATTACCTATTAGAGACATGAAGTAAAAACATTGGAAGTGGGAAATTCTAAGAAGCTTGACAACCCTTTATATCCCAGCATGCCACAAGCCCAATATCAGTATCTAAGTATCTTATGATTATTGAGAAGTTGTTTGAAGAGTTTAAATCATATGAACCATGCCATATGACCTTGAAAATAGGTCAAGGTCATAATTTCCAACAAACTTGATAGCCCTTCATTCAAGCATGTTACAGGTCCATTATCACTACCCTTGCTTTTTTCATGGTAGAGTGGTAGTTTGAAGAACATTTAAACATATTTTATTCCTTTGACCTTAAAAGTATGTCAAAGTCATTCATTTGATCAAATTTGAAAGCAAGCAGCAATCTATAGTCTCAACATCAGTACCCTGGGCTTGGTGGATATTATCACATAAAGGTTATTGAGGGGACTTAAAGTAATCTTAAGACAAAAGAAGACAATGATGGACTGATGATTCATGACATGCAGACAGTATGCATTAGTGATAGCTAAATGTTTGAGAAGTGAGAGAATTTCTCTTACAAACGTTGTAAAGAATCAACCTTTCTTTGTAAATAATATTGTTTTAGGCATGCACGGCTGTGGAATAATTAATTAACATTTTCAAAATATACTGATGTTCCCCTTCCTCCCTCGAAGAAAAAAGTAAAAAACAAAACAAAATATATATATATTTATGTACCATTATGTTAAGTAAAAAAAAATTAAATAAACAACTATGTATAAATGACTATACACAGATTCTACATCAAATCATCTTGCCCATATCACTGTTTTCTTTTTTTCATTTTTTATAAATTCCTGACAAAATGTCATGTTCATCAGAATACATAAATATTTGTCTTCTTTGTATTGGGTCATAGTTGAATCTGCATGTTATAATTTTCTTTATAAGAAAATTACTTTGTACTTTCTTAAAGGGTTACAATCCAATAATACCATAAACACTTACCATCTTTGTTTTCCAATCGGACTTTGTTGAGGAGTTGGACAACCTCATCCGCAGAATGTTTCCAGTGAGCCTCTTCTTGTGATTTATCCATCCCTTTCTGCTTAGCTGTAATATTTCACTCAGGTGAACATCACATACCAGATACAGATATTTTTATCACATATTGTTACAATCCATGATATAAACTTAAGATGCAATATATTAAAACAATTTGATAATGCATCGATACTCAGCTATATTAGGCTTATCTGACACTATCACATTCGAGTTGACGTACAATCATCAAAAAAAAATTGAATTAATAATTATTATTATTCATTTCTTCTTTCTATCTTCTTATACCTATAACATATCACTCAGTCAAACATCTTTATACCTGTAACATATCACTCAGGTAACATCTTTATACCTGTAACATATCACTCAGATAAACATCTTTATACCTGTAACATATCACTCAGGTAAACATCTTTATACCTGTAACATATCACTCAGGTAAACATCTTTATACCTGTAACATATCACTCAGATAAACATCTTTATACCTGTAACATATCACTCAGTCGAACATCTTTATACCTGTAACATATCACTCAGGCAAACATCTTTATACCTGTAACATATCACTCAGGTAAACATCTTTATACCTGTAACATATCACTCAGTCAAACATCTTTATACCTGTAACATATCACTCAGTCAAACATCTTTATACCTGTAACATATCACTCAGTCAAACATCTTTATACCTGTAACATATCACTCAGTCAAACATCTTTATACCTGTAACATATCACTCAGTCAAACATCTTTATACCTGTAACATATCACTCAGGCAAACATGTTTATACCTGTAACACATCACTCAGTCAAACATCTTTATACCTGTAACATATCACTCAGTCAAACATCTTTATACCTGTAACATATCACTCAGTCAAACATCTTTATACCTGTAACATATCACTCAGTCAAACATCTTTATACCTGTAACATATCACTCAGTCAAACATCTTTATACCTGTAACATATCACTCAGGTAAACATCTTTATACCTGTAACATATCACTCAGTCAAACATCTTTATACCTGTAACATATCACTCAGTCAAACATCTTTATACCTGTAACATATCACTCAGTCAAACATCTTTATACCTGTAACATATCACTCAGTCGAACATCTTTATACCTGTAACATATCAATCAGTCGAACATCTTTATACCTGTAACATATCACTCAGGCAAACATCTTTATACCTGTAACACATCACTCAGGCAAACATCTTTATACCTGTAACATATCACTCAGTCAAACATCTTTATACCTGTAACATATCACTCAGTCAAACATCTTTATACCTGTAACATATCACTCAGTCAAACATCTTTATACCTGTAACATATCACTCAGGTAAACATCTTTATACCTGTAACATATCACTCAGATAAACATCTTTATACCTGTAACATATCACTCAGTCGAACATCTTTATACCTGTAACATATCACTCAGGCAAACATCTTTATACCTGTAACATATCACTCAGGTAAACATCTTTATACCTGTAACATATCACTCAGTCAAACATCTTTATACCTGTAACATATCACTCAGTCAAACATCTTTATACCTGTAACATATCACTCAGTCAAACATCTTTATACCTGTAACATATCACTCAGTCAAACATCTTTATACCTGTAACATATCACTCAGGTAAACATCTTTATACCTGTAACACATCACTCAGTCAAACATCTTTATACCTGTAACATATCACTCAGGTAATCATCTTTATACCTGTAACATATCACTCAGTCAAACATCTTTATACCTGTAACATATCACTCAGTCAAACATCTTTATACCTGTAACATATCACTCAGTCAAACATCTTTATACCTGTAACATATCACTCAGGTAAACATCTTTATACCTGTAAGATATCACTCAGTCAAACATCTTTATACCTGTAACATATCACTCAGTCAAACATCTTTATACCTGTAACATATCACTCAGTCAAACATCTTTATACCTGTAACATATCACTCAGTCGAACATCTTTATACCTGTAACATATCACTCAGTCGAACATCTTTATACCTGTAACATATCACTCAGGCAAACATCTTTATACCTGTAACACATCACTCAGGCAAACATCTTTATACCTGTAACATATCACTCAGTCAAACATCTTTATACCTGTAACATATCACTCAGTCAAACATCTTTATACCTGTAACATATCACTCAGTCAAACATCTTTATACCTGTAACATATCACTCAGTCAAACATCTTTATACCTGTAACATATCACTCAGGTAAACATGTTTATACCCGTAACATATCACTCAGATAAACATCTTTATACCTGTAACATATCACTCAGGTAATCATGTTTATACCTGTAACATATCACTCAGATAAACATCTTTATACCTGTAACATATCACTCAAACATCTTTATACCTGTAACATATCACTCAGTCAAACATCTTTATACCTGTAACATATCACTCAGTCAAACATCTTTATACCTGTAACATATCACTCAGGCAAACATCACATTGAACATAAATGCACTACTATAATTTAGAATATTAAAAACAATTGTTAGTTGCCAACCAGTATAATTATTACTACTTACTCTGCTTCATTTCAGCAAGGCCCTCCATCACACTTTTCTCTAAACGTTTTTTCTCCCTGTGTGTAAGAGTGATTAAGTTTGATTTTCTCTGAATTATTGTATACATGTAATATTTCATTTCTTAAAATTATCAATTCAATTTGTTTTTACTTTTCATAAAAAAATTCTTGAAAAGAATACCTATGAAAACAATTTAGGTATGGTGTCTGTACTTGTAGAATCAGTGTATCAAAGAATTAAATTTCAAACATCAAAATAACAAAGCTGGTGCTAAATGCTAAAAATCAACAGATAAAAAATGGTACATATTATATTTTAGAGCTCCAAGTGTTTGCTAATACATACTTACTGTTCAAGAATTTTCGTATTTTTGCCATTGAAGTCACATTTAATTATTTCCTCCTTCAGCGACTTCAACTTTTCTAAATCAGCCACGGTGTTGACATACCCTGTACTGAAAATACACACAAAAATACAAATGCAACATCCTTAAAGGGACATAACTCCGAAAACAGTTCCTAAAAACAAAAATGATCACGGTTCTCAATAGGGACTGCTCAGGGGTGGTAGAAAGTCCATACAAATTTGTTGAAAGAATAAGGAGGTTTACTCAAGATAACTTTATGTTTCATTATGTTCAAACAGTCATACCGGCAAATCATCATATTGAAAAAAAAAATATGAAATAAAAAAACTTTAAACACTCCAAATACTGTAAATTGGAATTTTTGTGGAAAAAGTAAAGAGACATACAAACATTGATTCAGAGAAGGAACAAATATATGGATTGAATATGGATGAGGTACAGTCTTACATAATACATGTAGGAGGAGGGAGTGCAAGAAATGTTTGTAAAGTACATGTAAACATAAAGTGGGGAGTGTCAGAAATGTTTATCAAGTACTTGTAAAAAAGGTTCACAATGCATACTTTACCTGATTTCTGATGCTTCATCTTCATCAAATGACATCTTTAAATCATCCTGTCGACAAAAATATACCTCACTTTAAAACGAAACTGATGATTAATTTGGTATATTAAATAAATTTGTTAAATTTCAACCTTGCTTATTTTACACCTCCCAAACTTCTTTACTGAAGACTCTAGAATGGTATATGCCTTTTCAGTTCCCTAAAAATGTATAAAAATTTGGTAAAATTTGAGCTCTTTAATAATGGAAATGTTTTTATAATGAAACCTTACCAGTCCTACATGATCTGTGGTCATCCACTGAAAAAATCAAAACCACGAAAAAATTATAATCATATTGTTATTTGTAATACTTTACATTTTTATATATAAATATATATATATATATAAAATAAATATAGATATTGACAATTTCAATCTAATTGATACTTTTCAATTAAAAATGTGATAGTATACATTTTTTTAATGTACAGTTATATATATGATTGACATTTAAACTCTATCTAAATATAATTATGAAAATACATGAATATTAATAGTTATCCGTCACCAATGATTGACCTGATCATCAATGATAATTAAATGTAAAACAATATCATACATGAATATTCATAACTACATATTAATGATACCAGCATATTATACATGTACTTACATCTGCCACTTGCATGAGAAGCTGAAAAAGGTAATTATTATGTTTTAGAATGAAGACTTCCTGATACCATCTTTGATTAAGAAAAATAGTTTAATGCCCTGAAAATTGTTGCAATTTCAAATGATTCAAATTTTAGTGAATTCTTTATCAAAAATGAAATATTTTTCATTGCAATCATGCAACTGTTATTTCATCTTGCAAATGTATTTGTGATCAGAAAATACTTTCAATTGTTTTTGTTTAGTGATAATGTTTTACACCCCTCAAAGTAAAATGGACTCACCTCCTCTCTCTCCTTGTTACTCTCCTCCACACTAGACGTTAAATCCTTATATCCCATCATGAAACCTTCCAGATGACCTTTCAACTGACAGAAGGTCAAAGGTTATATGTTTAATTGAATATATGTATGTAATTTACAGATTTCCGTACAATATAAATGTTATATTTAATATTGTAATGCTACCATATTTATCTCCAATATTATCTTCTGCATATCTTTAGACTTCAGAACAAATGTCGACAAATGTTTTACTATTGGCATGTAATACTGTACAATATAAGCTTCTCCTTGAGGTCAAAGGTTGTATTTTGGTCTCTGAACTTTAGAATGCATATATACATGTATATTAAACGACACAGTGGCCGTTAAAGTCATTTGATTTGATGAAGAACTTAACACGGTAGAAAATGTACCTTTTTCCCATTACACACAACCTACCACAAAAATATTTTGATATGAATTTTGTTCTGTCTCAGAATAGGTGTCATGTCGGACGTTTGTTAAAAAAGGGGGTGGCAATATTTCTACCAAATTCAATTTTCCATGGCGATGATGATAACACGATACCCCTTCTTGGGGTGTTTTTAAGGCATATTACATCGTAGTTTTATTTAGATAAGCTAAATCAAATCAGGCGTAAATTTCAGTGGGTGATCAGGATTTAACCGGAACTTGTTGAGCCGGATTTGAAGTGGGCGAATTCGTTGAAGTGGGCGAACTTCTCGAAGTAGGTTAATTCGCTATTTATTTGTGTGAAATGTTCCCAACAACTCCACGTTATCTGATAATGAAAACAATCTAATTCCACTGTCTCCCCGTTCTGATGGAGTTTTGAAAATTTAGTCTCCGCCACCTCCTCAGCACCTCCCCCTCCCCCTGTTGGTTTGTAATATCCTGTGTATGATCACCATAGTAACAAATCCTTTAAAAAAATGTCTTTTCAAGTAACTAGTTTCAAAAGCGACTGTAATTTTGAAACCGACTCGAAAAACTTAACACTAGGCCATGACTATTCTAAAATAATTCCTTAAAAAAATCAGATTCCATAGAAGTTTAGAATGGACCGTAAAATTGTCCAGCAAACCGTGCATGGTGATTTATATATAATCCTGACCCAGATAATTAGATGGTCCAAACTATGACTTAATATTCTGAATGAATTACACAATCTAATTTTGAATAGAACACAAAAATTTATAAAAAAAAAATATAGACAAAGGGTAGTCGAGCTGTGGAATAGCTTACCCCAGTCTGTGGTAGATGCTACCTCGGTAAGACAGTGTGAAATCAAACTTGATGAACACTTGAAAGATTACATGTATCGCGTGACTGACTTAATCTCATTTCCCTCCGTTATAAAGGACAACGTAAATAGTTTATTACGGAAAATATTACAATAAGCTACTAACTTGATCCACTTTGAAATTGCATCGGAAGTTATGTACATATATTATGTTATTCATTGATATGAACATAGAGACTTAATGCATGCGTTCGTTATGTATCATATTAAATCATATTAAATAAAGTTTAAAAAAAAAAATGGCAATACTCAGCGTGGCTAATTAAAAAGGAATACCTCTTCTCGGTCCATAGTGTCGATGTTTCTGGTGAGACTTTCCATTATTTCCATTCGCTGTAAGAGATTATATGTTTCAACTTCAATATTTCACACCATGTCATATACTTAACACCATGTAACATACAACACCTCGTGACTTATATTCTAAATATTTTGTTTTAGGTTGTAAATATGTCGTTTTACATGATACGTTGTGTGCTGTCAAAAAAATTGGGATAAAATTATCTTGTTAACCATGCAGTATTTCAGCCGGTGAAGCAAAGAATTAATTTAATTAGCCTGGGTAAGTTGTCCTTTGTTGGCTTCCAACTACAACGTAGTATGATTAGGAAGCTGTAAATATTTAAAAACACATATATTTAGATGGTGTTTAGGATTTGGGAAACTTTGGCTTAACTTCCATGTCAACGTTACCAGTACAATAAAACGTATTTCAAATAAACACAACAGCTTCAAATGTGGTCTTCAGTAATAACCCATTGCCTGCACGTGGTACTAAGAATACTTTCTGTTATTTCAACTTACCGGAGGACTGGGTTCAACATCGTCCAGGACATCATACTGATGTAGAGTCTGGCGGTGAAAATAAATTCATTATAATAAGATGTCAGTTGATATACCACCTTGTGTCTGGAAATCTCTTACTTTAAAAAATAATTTATTCAATATTCAACTATGTAACATTTACACATAAAACATGTACGTACGGGATGGGAAAAACGATTAGAACTCTCCGGAAAACTCTTAAATGCTATTTTGAAATAAAAATAACAAACAATTAGAATTCTAGGAAATGTAAGAATATTTCTGTAGTTTTAGAGCGTGATGACTCGCTCATTTATCTTAACCTGTTTCTACATATAAATATGTACTGAAACGGGTGTTTCTCTGAGACATTCGGCTATCCAGCAAACATATATATCTATATCTGTATAATGGTTACTACAGAATTGATAAAGGGTTTTTCGTATAAAAAAAGAAAAAAGCAGAAATGTAACAAATTGGATTGGGAATGAGAGTAAATGTGTGTTACCTTATGGAGCCTTTGTGTAATATCTCCGAGCTGTTCCTTGATAACACTCTGTCGCCTCCTGGTAGAGTCATATACTGGTCCCACGAACAAACTAGTGTCGATCACTTTCGGTATGAGATCCTCTGCTAGCGATAAGCGGGGTGTGTCGGATGCGCTATAATCGTCGAACTGGCTCAATCGCCTCATTTTAGCATTGTAAGCTTTCGGCTTAGTCTTGGTGGGAGGTTTCGTCACCAGCGGACGTGTATTGGGTTTATTTTTGTCGTTCACCAACGTCTTCCACATGTTATTATACTTATCAATACAATTCAGGCGGCAGATTTTAACGCCAGACAACGGTAGCGATTAAGAAAATTATAACCTTATTTGAGTATCAAAATATATCTCACCTACACTTACCCCCCAAACGTCCCTATTAACTCGTTTGCCGATTCAAAATGTCATGGTTCCGTCCCTGTGAACGAATATTCCAAGAAAAAATAGGTTGCACGTAGATAAACATGCAACAGCGCTTTTGGGTATGTGGTAATGACGTCATCGGGATTATGACGCATTGGCTATTGTTGTAAAAGGTTGTACGAGTTATTTCCCTTCGATACCCAACGTTTAGCGTAATATAGCCTATGTATAAGCTGAAAGAATGGCTCGACCTTTATTTAAAGGTTTCAAGTTTTTTTTCAGGGTCGGTAGGTCTAAAAATTTAGAAGTACCCAGGTAAACTTTGTATGTATGAAATATATATTATGACAAACAATGTGAAATATATTTTGACAATTTACTTACATGTAGATCAAGACCATACCGAAGTAAAATGTGATTTAGCGGCAGAAGAAATGCAAGAACTAGAAAAAAAATAATAGGAACGAATGTTATCTTCACGTGATCTACAATTCACCGACTAGGTCTTCAATCTGAATCGTTGTTAATTATTTGTATGTATGTATGTGTAGGTACATGTATGTGTTAATAGTAGCTTAATGTGATAAGAGTATATAAGGGAATAAACAGACTGTGTTTAAGGATCTTATTTCATACAATGTATATATATTAAAACATAAAACGAAGGATTTCTGGGTAGACAGGTACCACCTGGGAAAGATGCAAATGAGACCCATTTTTCACAAGTAACACTGTATAGATAAAACCAAACCAGGCGGCATGTCATGTGTCATAGTTCACTCTGTGAAACTAAAAACTAACAACAATCGTGAAACAGTCTATCATCTTACAAGCATCACTTTTGTTGGCCTGGAAATATGAGGTAACCTGAGTACACAGGAGAAATCAAGTGATCGCAATACTATTATACGTCTGATTACGGAATTGAACCCCGGTCGGGTCAGTAAAAGACGAGTGTTTTACTATTGCGCCATCCAACCACTTACTGTGACTATTCTATTGAAAAAGAATTACGACTGAAAAATACAATTAATTCTTTGTCAGATATAACATTTCACGACACGTGTATTCTTTTTCACGTGTTCACCTTTAAAAGGGTTTGGCGTGTAACGACCTGATTCAACCTAAATGTAACCAACAACACAACTGGCAGTCGATATAGACCCGCGCGTAATCCTCTCTCTATATAGCGAGCCCGATACCGATGTTCATCTAAACGTTTATTTAATACACGTAACAATGGGCGATCAAATTGCTTGTTAAGTGTCAAACAAACACTGGTAAGATTTCTATTGACTTTCCCATGCAATCACTTTTATACTTATGATGTGTATTGATACATCATACAACCACAAAAACGCGCCATTAAGGACCGATCCGATATCAGAGAAAAACAAAACATTACATCATCCATTTTGACATTGAAAGTTGCTAGTTTATCTAACTAACTGTAAGCGCTTTGGGTCCAAAGCTCACTTTTTCAATCGACATTATCTATGTGTTTCACTCCACAATAGTCTCCGTATTTCACTCGACATTGTCTCTGTGTTTCACCCGAAATTGTCTGTGTTTCACCGAACATTACCTCTGTGTTTCACCCAACATTGTCTCTGTGTTTCACCCGACATTGTCTCTGTGTTTCACCCGACATTGTCTCTGTGTTTCACCCGACATTGTCTCCGTGTTTCACCCGACATTGTCTCTGTGATTCACCCGACATTGTCTCTGTGTTTCACCCGAAATTGTCTGTGTTTCACCGAACATTACCTCTGTGTTTCACCCAACATTGTCTCTGTGATTCACCCGACATTGTCTCTGTGTTTCACCCGACATTGTCTCCGTGTTTCACCCGACATTGTCTCTGTGTTTCACCCGACATTATCTCTGTGTTTCACTCAACATTGTCTCTGTGATTCACCCGACATTGTCTCTGTGTTTCACCCGACATTGTCTCTGTGTTTCACCCAACATTGTCTCTGTGATTCACCCGACATTGTCTCTGTGTTTCACCCGACATTGTCTCCGTGTTTCACCCGACATTGTCTCCGTGTTTCACCCGACATTGTCTCTGTGATTCACCCGACATTGTCTCTGTGTTTCACCCGACATTGTCTCTGTGTTTCACCCGAAATTGTCTGTGTTTCACCGAACATTACCTCTGTGTTTCACCCAACATTGTCTCTGTGATTCACCCGACATTGTCTCTGTGTTTCACCCGACATTATCTCTGTGTTTCACTCAACATTGTCTCTGTGATTCACCCGACATTGTCTCTGTGTTTCACCCGACATTGTCTCTGTGTTTCACCCAACATTGTCTCTGTGATTCACCCGACATTGTCTCTGTGTTTCACCCGACATTATCTCTGTGTTTCACTCAACATTGTCTCTGTGATTCACCCGACATTGTCTCTGTGTTTCACCCGACATTGTCTCTGTGTTTCACCCAACATTGTCTCTGTGATTCACCCGACATTGTCTCTGTGTTTCACCCGACATTGTCTCTGTGTTTCACCCGACATTGTCTCCGTGTTTCACCCGACATTGTCTCTGTGTTTCACCCAACATTGTCTCTGTGATTCACCCGACATTGTCTCTGTGTTTCACCCGACATTGTCTCCGTGTTTCACCCGACATTGTCTCCGTGTTTCACCCGACATTGTCTCCGTGTTTCACCCGACATTGTCTCTGTGTTTCACCCGACATTGTCTCTGTGTTTCACCCGACATTGTCTCCGTGTCTCTGTGTTTCACCCGACATTGTCTCTGTGTTTCACCCGACATTGTCTCCGTGTTTCACCCGACATTGTCTCTGTGTTTCACCCGACATTGTCTCTGTGTTTCACCCGACATTGTCTCTGTGTTTCACCCGACATTGTCTCCGTGTTTCACCCGACATTGTCTTTGTGTTTCACCCGACATTGTCTCTGTGTTTCACCCGACATTGTCTCTGTGTTTCACCCGACATTGTCTCTGTGTTTCACCCGACATTGTCTCCGTGTTTCACCCGACATTGTCTCCGTGTTTCACCCGACATTGTCTCCGTGTTTCACCCGACATTGTCTCTGTGTTTCACCCGACATTGTCTCCGTGTTTCACCCGACATTGTCTCCGTGTTTCACCCGACATTGTCTCTGTGTTTCACCCGACATTGTCTCCGTGTTTCACCCGACATTGTCTCTGTGTTTCACCCGACATTGTCTCTGTGTTTCACCCGACATTGTCTCTGTGTTTCACCCGACATTGTCTCCGTGTTTCACCCGACATTGTCTCCGTGTTTCACCCGACATTGTCTCTGTGTTTCACCCGACATTGTCTGTGTTTCACCCGACATTGTCTCCGTGTTTCACATTGTCTCCGTGTTTCACCCGACATTGTCTCCGTGTTTCACCCGACATTGTCTCCGTGTTTCACCCGACATTGTCTCCGTGTTTCACCCGACATTGTCTCCGTGTTTCACCCGACATTGTCTCCGTGTTTCACCCGACATTGTCTCTGTGTTTCACCCGTCTTTTAGCGACGAACGTCTTGAAGTCTTCTAAATGGTGAGCAGATTTCTGTTTTTAGATTTATATATATTTTTTTTCAAATCACGATAAAACATTTTAAAATAATAATTGTACGGAATAACCACCCATACAATAGGATTGAGATATTCGAATTTATATAACTACCAACAGATCTACCACATTCTACTGTCAAGGTCTTTATCAGCAACATGCTCTTCTAAAGTGTTCTCTTAAGGCTGTCACGTTCGCTACAGAAATGACATTCAATAACATCTAACTGTAAGTATTGTTGGTCTATAAACAGAGATGGTACATCGTAAACATAGCTGTACCGCCTGATATATCACACTGTCTGTAAAAACATATTCATCGAAATTTTAATTGTAATATGGACGTCTTCGAGAAGTAAATAAACTTTCATATTTACTTGCATTTCCTTTCCATAAATGCATGTAACACTGCACTTTGGTGCTTTATTTCAAATCTCTGGCAGTTATAACGATCATAAATGACATAAAACAGTTTATTTTATGGCTATTTCTTTACGCTACTCTTATTTTATATTTACACTCGTTGATGTCACGTGCTGGTATGTGGTAATAAACATATCGTAGACGTACATATATACAAACATATATCGGTTGAAGGGCTGACTTTACTTAATTTTGCTTAAATGCGAGTTATGGTATGTCCGATTGTTGGTTAACAACTTATGCTGTAAGCTTTAGTATCTTAATGTCTGTTACAAATAACATGAAAGCTTACATTATTATTACATGATTATTAGTTTTTGAATGAAACAAGTCCGATGGAATCACTGCGTTAACGCGATAATGTTAGGTACGGATGAAAATAAAACACCTCATTTAAAGTTTAATATTTATCTCAGGTCGTTTATCATTGAATCGATAGGTTGATTTAGTAAAGTTTAAATAACGCCCTCACGACATTTTATGTCTTATCAAGCTAATGTCACCGTATAATGAAACACTCAAGTGCAAATAAGAACATACTTAAAACAATCACAACATCTCGCTTATTTCTAGAAAGAATCCGTATTTGTTCGTAAGTCGCAACAGTCCGCATACTCTAGCGTCAGTTTCCTAGACAATCACGGAAATGGTATTCCGAATGTTTGTTTGAGAGACCCGAATGAACGGGAATAGTCCATTAAGGGAGCGGTCAGATGTTGTTCTCATCCGGTACTTTGTCAGGTATACTAAAAATATCAACTATTAAATCCCTCCATTTAGAATTGTATATTTAAGAACGTTGGTAAATACCGAGACCTTTGTTGTTATCTGTCAATTCAAATGTAAAATCAATGAAATCCTTAAATATTATATTTCGGAACACCTTTGTTACCATACTTTAAGAAC